CCCTCCCACTCGTGCTCTCTCTCTCTCAAATAAATAAATCTTAAAATAGCAAGGGAAAACCCACCCAGATAAAATCACAATCCTAGCGTTTTCAAAGGACCTGGACTGTAGAGAGACCCCTGAGAGACAGGAAATGAGTGGGTGAACCCCGCGATTGCCCCTCTTGGCTGCCTCGAGGGAGTTTCCCGGCTGCCGTGGAGGGAGGGGAAACCAGGCCGGCCCCAGGGGAGTCCCTGAGTTGAGGAGATGGCACTGAGGGTCCAGGGACACTAAGGAAGTGAGGGGTCAAAGGACAGAGTGCCGAGGAAAAAAGGACAGTGAGAGAATGCTGGAGATCTGCCAAGGGCGTCCCTGAGCGATCGGCGTGCACACCGGCCTCGAGCGTGGCAGCACCTGAAACCGAAGGCAACCGTGTGCCCGTGGGCGTGTGTCCATTTTCCAGGCTGCGGAGCTGCCACTTTTATCCGTTCCTCAAAGGGTGACTCCGCACGGTTAGATCCGTGCTCTTGAGGATAAGGCTTCTCGGAGAGAGCACAGAGGGTGCACGGAGGGGGCAGGACATGGGCTGGGCCTGGGGCTCAGTGTGCGGGAGCCCCCAGCCCCATGCCCAGCTGGCTCGATGTCCCAATCCAGGGAGACGGCTGTGAGTGTGAGCCCAGGGGGCCGTGATGCGGGTGCCCAGGCCTGCGGTGGGCCCCAAGGAGCACAACTGAGCACGGGCTCCCCAAGCCAGTGACGACACGGCTGGGGGAAGCTCTGAAATATTAAAACAGGGAACACCAGGAAAATGCAGAGTTCCGGCTGGTAAGCGGAGTGGGGCTCGAAACCGTGGTTTCAACCTCCCTTGTAACCGCGGGGGCGTCCCTGAGGAAGAGTTGTGCCTCTTGGTGGACCAAAGCCCCCAAGCCCAGACCCAGCCGGCTGCCTGTGGAGCACAGACCAGCCCCTCCACCTACACTGAGTGGCCTGACCTCACAACCAGGCACCCACCTATTACCTGTATGGGCTTTACAGTGACAGAGCTCCCCACCAGCCATTTGCTGGTCAGGCCTCCCAGGAACCGTGGGCAGCGGGAAGGACAGGCGCCATCTACCCCCTGGCTAGATGAGGACACTAAGATCCCCAGATCACTTGCTGGGAAGTGAGGCCAAGACTGGAGTCCGGGCTCCTCCCTGCCCGCGGGGCTCTCCCAGTCCACCGCTCCCAGCTCTTGCGGCAGAAAGAAGCTGATCGGCCTCCTCGGGCAGCCTGGCTACTTCCTACCCCACGTTTTCCAAGGGCGAGGGAGGGAGCAGTGTGGACTGCAGGACCCAGACCCCAGTGGCTCCCCGCCCCTCATCTGAGCTTGCCCGGGGCTTGGCTCATTCCTGTCACATCTGTCTTTTCTACCTCCAGGGCCCCCCTAGCACACAAGGTCGTGTTATTTCTAATTTCCGCTCAGATTCTCTCCTGTCAGACTCGTAAGAAACTCAGCCCTTCCCTCTGCGGTTCCTCCTCTTTCCCTACAAATTGTGCTAAACCTCTTGGGTCTTAGCGAGCCCAAATGGGGATCTTTCCAACTGCACTTCCCCGGGGGCTGAGCCAGGAAGTCCTAACCGAGCTGCTTCTATGATGCTTGCTGCCAAGTGGTGTCACTGTTGACCCCTGGCCACAGGCCCCTGACGCGGGCAGAAGCCTGGGTCTTGGAAGGACAGCCCTGTGCCCTTGGTGCCACAAGAAACCACACGCGCTTCTGTGTGGCCACCCCCCAGACACCAGCTCCACGGGGTATCGGTCAGATGGTCACCTCCTGAAGACTTAAAATAAGTGTCACCTTTCCTTCCCAGGGTCCACACCCCACAGAAAAGGCAGCTTTTCCTTTCCAGCTCTGGAAACTGACGATTTCATCACAGAAAATAGAGCCCTACACACCTGTTAAGTTCGGATTGGTCCCCAGGGGGTCCAGATACCAGCACACCGAAGGGCTGATTTCGTGTTGCCTCCTTCCTAGAGGAGGGCACTGGCCTTCAGAGCCCCAGATGTGGTTTATCCTCCCCATTGCACCCCAGAAGGCTTTTCTCCTGCCTGATTATTGCCAGAACAGAAGGACCTCCACCCCCATGGGTTAGACCTCCAGGGGGGCAATGGCTACTCTTCTCTGACAACCTCTCCCCTCTCCGGAGTGAAGACATGCCTACAGCTGTGCCAGCAAGCACGAACTGGGCATCTAGCTGAGGGCCAGGCTCACAGCAGCAGAGACTCAGAAGATGGGGACGCAAGTGGCACTGAGCAGAGCCTCTGGGGGGGCGCTCACGGGGGGGTGGGGCAGCACAGCCCATTGGGACGTGGCTCTAAGACTTTGAACCATCAAGGGGCATCTGGGTGGCTCAGTTGGTTAAGCGTCTGACTCTTGATTTCGGCTCAGGTCATGATCCTCAGGGTCGCGAGGTCGAGCCCCGCATCAGGCTCCGCGCTCAGCCGAGAATCTGCTTGAGCTTCTCTCCCTCTGCCCCTCCTCTCTCTCTCTCTCTCTCTCTCAAATAAATAAATAAATAAATAAATAAATAAGACTTTGGCCCATCAAAGGGCACTGCCTGGCATGGCTCTGGTCCTTCCCCAGGGAAATGGCCGCGACGTTTCTCAGAGCTGGGATGGAGTGTGTTTCCTGGCTTCCTGGCACTCTGCAGCCTCTCAGAGGAGCGTGCCCCCCGCAGAAACCAGAAGATGCACTTCCAGTGCTCAGACTGTCCCAGACCTCCGCACGGGTCGGGTCGTTGTCACTTTCAACTCTGAGGCCTTTTCCTTCCTGCCTCCCGTTGAGCAGCCTCCGTCCCCGTCTGGGAGCAGGTCCCGCACTCAGCTCCGGAGCAGAGGGCTGGGGCTCAGGGGGTGCGCACGGAGCTGCCCCGGGAAGGGCTGGAGCGGTGAGCGGCCGCCGCGGGCCATCAGCCCCCGTCTAGTGGTCCCGGGCCTTCCCCGCTGCCGCCGCCCCTGGACCAGCACCCCCGCCCGGGCCCACCTCACGGCTGGCACACACGGCTTTAGGCTTTATCTGGCTGGTCACCATTCAGAAGACACTTTCCTGAATTCAGGGAATTAAAAAAAAAAAAAAAAGACCCAAGAACAACTGCTTTGCTTTGATGACATGCACTCACTTTGACCTCGACAGAGACTGGAGTAACCACAGGACGAATTCTTCTTTTTCTGAACACTTTTATCTCATGAATTGTTGTATGAGGTTTCCACTGGAAAATGCGGGAAACTGGCTGAATGTGTTCCATTTTAACAAAATAATGAGGTAAAACTGTAAACATTTTACGTCATTAAATTCAAGGCCTGATCTGTCTGGTGGTGAGAAAGAAAATACTAACTGCTTTTAAGAGAAATATTTGTATTATTAAAATAGTAATGGCTTTCCTCTTTGATCGAAAGAAATGATTTGGGCTTGGATGGGGAGTAGCTCTCGCTTTGGGGGGTTTCGGAGCCACTCCGTCGGCGACCATTGTCGGAAGGCTCCATGCAACATCCTCCAGCTCGGCAGTAAGAATCTCCCAGTGATGGAACACCTGATCAAAGGCTGCCTTGCCAAGCAATAAAAGTTCATGGAAACACCCGTTTGCCTGTGACGACAGCAGGCCTGTGGGTCTGGGGACCTGACCCCAGGGCCAATGGGCCCTGCATCTGTGTCCCAGAAGCTCTTGCATCTTGCAGGCAACGCCAGGGAGGCTCTGTGTTGGTGGTAACTGTGACAAGCTGAGACCTATTCTGGCTTTGGCAAAAGCTGACATCACACCCACGTGCCCCTTTGTTCTGATGCCCTCCCAGCTGCTCCTGAGGGGCCTGCCACCTGGCCCCCGAACCGCACGCCAGCCAGAACCTTCTTCCAAGGCCAGCCACGCCTGCGCCCCAGCAGGATTCCCACCTTCCAGTCAGCCTGTGGCTCCCCTGGCCCTGCCTTGGATTCACAGACATCCCTGGCAAACCGGCTTTCTCATCTGTCCGCTGGGAACGTTCTTGGGCTCTTCTGGCCTCAATGCGGTGACGTTGTACCTTCTCCCAGGTGGGACGAGAGTAAATCAGTCCCATCAGGCTGGTGAGAGCAGGTGTTCCTCAGGACCTCCTCCAGGTGGGGCCGGGGTGCCCCCCCTCTCCCCCGGGGCACAGAGCTGCCTCTGCAGCTGCAGAACAGCAGAGATCAAGGAAGCCTGGATTGTCAGCGCTGGAATGCCTGGAAGAGCCTCCAGGACTCAATTTCTAGAGAGGGAAACTGAGGCCCACAGGGTGAAAGTGGCTGCATGTTAGTTAACTGAGGGCTCCAGCTCCCAGTCCTGTGCTCTCCGCCCATCACACCTGCCAAGGAGGGGAGCAGGCCTCTCTCCAGGGAGGCAGGCAGGCTGTGGCTCTCAGCAGCCCCAGTGCCAGGAAGGAAGAGTCAGGTACGATCTAAAGCTTAGACTCAATCCTTCCTACCCCGAGCGAGGCTGGGGGTCCAGGAGCCCGGGTCTCACCTGGGGGCTGGTTAGAAATGCAGACTCTCCGGCCCCGCCCCAGAGCCCAGAACCATAATGCAGGCATCAACATCTCCAGGCAGTTGCTGTGCAGAACCAGGGACGTGTTAGAGGCCCCAAGGGAGCCAGTCTGGGCCACACTCAGCTTGATGAGCTGTCCCCAGTCCCAGTGCAGAGAGGGCCATCCTACAGGGGAAACATTTCAGGCTCCAGGAGAAGCCCGCAGACAAGCCCTCCGCAGAGGCTGCGAGAGGAGTAGCTGGGAGAGCGCCTGCGCATGCACCGGGGCGGGTGTCGGGGGGACTGCACCTGTGCCTGCCTTCACACCTGGGTCTGCACGGCTGACCACCGCTTGCCAGCAAGCCTGAAGCTGGATCTTTTGAAAGAACCAGGAGTAACTGCATGTTGGAGGGGGCTCAGCTCCAGCCAGAGCCTGGGCAGGGGGCGGGGGCGGGGGTGCAACCCCAGTCTGGTCAGGGGGAGCAGGGGACCTGCAGGGCACCTCCAGCAGCCTCAGCGACAGTACTCCTGCTCGATGCTGGCCATCAGCTCCTCTTCCGAGTAGTCGTACGAGATGGCCAAGATGCCTGACGGCTTCTCGGACCTCCCGTGGCTGCCGCCCGGGTTTCTATGAGCCAGAAACACGGACAGGGGTGTCAGGAGACAAGGCGTCACCTTTAAACTCGTCATGTCTACAATGGCCCCTTCAGGGACTTCTGATTCATCCTTAAACCAAAACCGAAAACCTTTGCCCTGGGGAAAGCTTCCTAATCTTTTATAAGAGCGGGCCTCTCCCTATTTCTCTGGCTTCATTGCCTATGACCTTGTCCGCCCAGACCTTATGTACCCTGCGAGGAAGCCAGCCCCTGGGGCGTTTCAGGGTCAGGGCCCGCAGGGTGGAAAGGTCCGAGTTTGAATCCCAGCTCTGCCACTTACTAGTGCTGCAACCTTGAACAAGGCATTTGCATCTCTGAGCATCAGTTTTTTTTTACATCTGTAGTGGAGCTGTATTCATAAGTTCATTGTGGGGCATAAATAAGATAATGCACAGAGAGCATGTGACACCGAGTCCTGCACGCTGCACAGCCCTAAGCAAATGTGAGCTCTGCATTGCGAGCCACCCACTTGCCTGATTTACTTGCAGGGCCTGCACCCTTGGAGGGGCTGAACAGAGTTGCTGCTGCAGGACAGGACTGGGCATGGCAGAGTGACCAGAATCAGACCCTGTTCCTGCTGCCCGGGCTCCACAAAGTGGTTCCCATCAGCCTGCACCTGGTGGCCCACCCGCTCTCCAACTTTCTGGACATCATAGGGACTTTGGGGGGGTGTTCACTGTACCCCAAACTTCCCTTTCTTTCAGGCTGCTCCCTGGCAGTGTTGCCTGGCACTGGCCTTGGCCTGCCCAGAACCTTTGACAGCTGGGGGGGTGTGGGCGTGGGTCAGGCTGCGTGCTACTAGCTGGAGTGGATGCGAGGTCCGCAGCCCAGAGCTGCCCACCGCCGGCTGTGGGACAGTGACCTCCCACGGCCTCCTCTGCGGTGCTGGAGAAGAAGGCCGCACTGCTCTGCCGCTCAGGCCGCTGGGGCGACTTCCCCTCGCACCTGTGAACTCAGGGAGCCGGGATGGGGGATCCTCAGCGGCAGGTGCAGACAGGAGCCACCAGCATCACCAGGCGTCCCCTCCATGCGCCCTCAGCTTCTGTTACCCAATCCTAGGACCTCAGGCCAGCCCTGTCCTCAAAGCCAGCCCGACCAGTTCAGCCCGGCCGTTTCCATGTCTCCCTGCCCTTGCCCCTCAGGAGAAAGATGTAGATGTCATCAAAGTTGATCAGGACTCGGGGGCCCCTAGGTGGCTCAGGCAGTGAAGCGTCTGCCTTCGGCTCAGGTCATGATCCCGGGGTCCTGGGATCGAGCCCTGCATCGGGCTCCCTGCTCGGCGGGGAGTCTGCTTCTCCCTCTCCCTCTGCCCATCCCCCCTCTTGTGCGCTCGCTCTCTCTCTCTCTCTCTCTCTCAAATAAATAAATAAAATCTTAAAAAAAAGAAAGGATGATCAGGACTCGGGGGTCAAGGCCCACATGGCCCCAGTTCACATCAAACGTTCCTTTCAACAAGCATCTATGAGACACCTACTGTGTGCCCAGCGCCGTGAGGGACCAGACCTGAGTCAGGTGCCCGCGCTGCCTTTGTGAGGCTGAGTGAGGCTGGGAGCCGGGCTGCCGTGTGTACCTGCTGCCTTACGGGTCACGGGTGTGGAGGCTGGGTGCCAACAAAGTGGGGCGAGACCCCAGCTTGACGAGGACGGAGGGGAGGGCGAGAGTTTGGGGGAAGAGATTTTTAACTGGGCTTGGAAGGATTTTTCTCTTTAGCATTTTATCACAAAGACTCCCAAGCATACAGAAAGGTTGAAATTGTAGATTCAACAATTAAGTAAATACGCAGTTTTTTTTTTGTTTTTTTGGTTTTTTTGTTTTGTTTTGTTTTGTTTTTTGCTGTATTTACTTTATCACACATCTACTTCATCTGATTTCTGGAGGTATTTCAAAGTAAACTGCAGATGTTAGGACATTTCTCCCAGAAATGCTGCTCTGCCGGGTTCTAACAGCAGAGCCGGGGGGTAGGGGAGGAGGCCGGGAAGGAAGGGGGGCCGCTGCCTCTGAGATCTGTGTGGGGGGTGGAGGGAGAAGAGCCACGGAGGGCCCGGAGGCGTGGGGGAGCCACGGCAGATGTGGGCCAGGAGGCTGCTGCTCCCTCCCTGCAGGGGCTCTCCTTAGAGGCCAAAGAGCCCAAGTTTGGGGACCAGAGGAAGGCTGCTCCAGTCCTGACCCCGGGGAGGGCCAGTGCGCCCTCAGAGCTTGCCTCCATGGCCCTCTCCTCCTTCCCGAGGCAGCAGGGCGGGCTGCTGGAGCCTGACAGAGCCTCCCACGAAAGCAGGTGAGCCAGGGAAGGAGTAGACTCCCGGGAGGGTGGTGAGGAGTCTGAGGAGCCTCCTGGAGTGTGCAAGGAGCAGAAGGGGCCCCTTCAGTTAAAAAGCAGGAGAAATAGCTAATTGATTCCAGGTAGAATTTAACCCTTCTAAATTCCTCGGGTTGATGAAAACTGGAGAAAGTCATGCTAATTCTCTTTAAAAGCAGTGGAAACAGTCAGCCAGAGCTGAGCTGTGCGCCGTTGCTTCCGCGGGGCCCACAGGCCGGTGTGTCCCCAGGTCCCCAGCACGCAGCTGCAGGCTCCGGCATCTGGGTCGGCCCAGCAGAGCCGCTGGGGCCCCTGGGGCGGTGGCTGCCGTGGGACCCCGTGTCCTCCCTTGCACCCGAGACCACCCCCCCGCCCCGGGCGCCGAGTGCCAAGCCCATCCCCAGTCCATACAATGAGAGGAGGAGGGTCTGAGGGAGGGCCAGGGCTCTCCACGATGCTGAAGAAGGCTCTGGGCCTGGACCGCTGGTGCCAGGGTTGTAAGCATTCCCACTGCTTCACCCTCTGCGCCAGCGAGGAGTCCCAGCCTGCTCCCACTCGAAAGCGGTGGCCAGTGGCTACAGCGTGGCACTTAGCGCCTTCTCCACCTCGGGGAGCTTCCGGCTTTCGGTGACCCCCAGGGCCCTGTGCTAACCGCCACCTGCTGGCGCACCGCATCCTCAGCTGGAAATGCTGCCAGGGATGCTCCTGCCTCCTTTCTCCTCCGTGGCCTCCCACGCGGCCTTCAAACCAGTTTAACCCTTACCAGCTCCTCTGTGAGCCCTCAGGCCACTCCTGTCCCCTCTCTGACCTCCCCTGAGCCCACTGCCTGCACTTGTGAAGGGACCAAGCTGCTCAGGGAAGGACCCCTGCAAATGTGTGTTCAGTAAGGGAAACCAGCAAGCTTCTTGCCTGAAACCTTTTGGAATTGGTCATAAAAACAGCTTATTACGCTAGAAGTTTTACACCTATTCACATCCATGGTCCTGAATACCAGAGTCACCCACATCCCAGGGACGGGGCAGATCACTGTCATCCTTTTAGAGGTAAGGAAGCCAGGAGGGGGCGCCTGGGTGGCTCAGTTGGTCAAGCGTCTGCCTTCGGCTCAGGTCATGATCCCAGGGTCCTCGGATCGAGTCCCGCATCGGGCTCCCTGCTCAGCGGGAAGCCCGCTTCTCCCTCTCCCACTCCCCCTGCTTGTGTTCCCTCTCTCGCTGTCTCTCTCGCTATCAAATAAATAAATAAATAAATAAAATCTTTATTAAAAAAAAGGAAGCCACGAGGGTAGGGTAGGGGAGAATAGGCCAGGGGCCCAAGGTCATCCCAGCCGAGCCTCCCGCTGGGCTGCTCTTGATGCCCTGAAACCCTCACGCGGCCCAGAGCCATGTGGGATGGCCCGGAGCAGACAGAGAAGGCCTGGTCTCTGGGCCTCGGGTCCTTAGCTGACACTTCCCAGGGGTTTTAAAAGCATTTTCCTGATAAAATTGTAACAGATTACAGGGGGCCTGTCTGCCATCCCTCTAGGCTGTAAACTCTGGAAGGGCCCATCAGCAGATGTCCCACGGCACACGGTTTCTGGGTGAACAAGTGAGGTCGGGAGCGCCCTGGACGATCTGGGCCAGGGCCTCTCTCAGGGGGACAATCACAGCGGCTGTGAGGCCGTAGGGCTTCTGCACACTCCCAGGAGCAGCACCTTCCCTGGAAGGAGGGAGCTGCGTCGGGCGGTGAGTGGGGACCTGGGAGCCATGGGGTTCTGTGGGCGTCTGGGGCCGGGGCAAGAAGCTGTGGCTTCTGGCAGAGGAAACGTGCTCACCCCCGCCTCGCACTCACCTGGAGACTCGGCTGCTCTCTGGGTGCTCGTCAGCGCTCTGTTTGGAGGACACCTTGAGAAGGACAAAAGAAAGAAGCATCAAAAGGTTGTCAGTGACGCTTTCTGCCAACAGACACGGGCCACCATGTTTAACCCAGGACTAGATAAACCACAGCGGGAAAGGCCCCTGTGGCTCCCCAGTTGCATCTGCTTTACTTCACAGGCGGGAAGACTGAGGCTGGGGCAGGGGGTCACTTTATGAAGCTCACACATGTGGCCGGCGACCTGGCTGCACCACCATCTGTCACCTCCAGGGGTCACATCTGCCTTCCACTTGGCTCTGCCAAGCTTTCTCCGTCCCCAGACAAGGGTGTTTAGGCGGAGCACACGCTTGTCTGCAGGCTTTTCCTGTAGTCCGTGCCAAGCCCTGTGCCTGCACCAGCCTGCGCCGACGACCACAGCTTTAGAATGAACCTTGACATCTGCTAAAACACATCCTCCCACCCTTTTTTTTTTTAAAAAAAGAGTCTTGACTACTCTCAGTTCTTGGCATTTCCCCATATATGTATTGGAATCAGGTTGGCCTATTCCATGGGAAAAAAAAATCTTGGGGATTTTGTTGGGGTGGTATGAAACCACAGATCATTTGGGGAGAATTGATACCTTTATAATAATCAGCCTTTTGATTTATAAACAAGGACTGTTTCTCCATTCATTCAGGCCTTCTTTAATGTCTTTTTTTTTTTAAGTCTTTATTTATTTGAGAGAGAGAGTGTGAAGGCGGGGTGGGGAGGAGGGGCGGAGGCAGAGGGAGAAGCAGGCTTCCCCTGGAGCAGGGAGCCCGATGTGGGGCTCAATCCCAGGACCCTGGGATCATGACCTGAGCCGAAAGCAGACGTTTAATGACTGAGCCACCCAGGCGCCCCACACATCACCTTTTTTAAATAAAATTTTATTTTATATCTCTTGTTGCAGAAATATGACTGAAATATATATATTTGGGGGAGTCGGTGAATTTACCAACTCTTGTATTAGCCCTAATAATTTATGCATAGATTCTGTTTGTATTATTTTTGTTCTCATTCACCTTCTCCGGGAATAACAGCCACTCAATTTCCCCCTAACCTTTTCAGACTTCTGGTACTACATGAAAAGAAGTGATGACAACAGGCATCTTTGTCTTGCTCCCTTATTGAAAGGGAAAGTTTCTATTGTTTCACAACTTAATGTTTACTGTGATTTTTTTCTCGAGCATCTGGATCAGAGCCTCGCCTTGGTGCTATGCGCTGGGTCATTTCTCCAGCTCTGTCTTCCAATGCGCTGGTCTCATCCCTGCCTAATCTCCTGCTAACCCACACCATCGGGATCTTTAACTTTGTTTATTCTAGTTTCCATTTCTACAAGTTCTGTTTGGTTCTTTTTCAAATACACGAGGTCACTTTCTCTAGGCCCTTGTCCTTTGCAGGTATTTTCTTTAAACATAATAAACATAAATTGAATATAGTCTGTTCCTGGTAATCCAAACAACTGAAGTCTTCACCGATCTATTTTGGAGGGGGGAGGGGCAGAAGGAGAGGGAGAGAGAGAATCTCAAGCAGATTCCGCACTGATCGTGGAACCCGACACAGAACTCGACCCCAGGACCCTGAGATCACGACCTAAGCTGAAATCAAGAGCTGGATGCTTAACTGACTGAGCCAGTCAGGCGCCCTTCGCTGATCTATTTTTGTTGACTATTTTTTCTTCTGGTTTTTACTGGGTTCCTTGAATAGTTGGTTATTTTTTGTTGTTTGCTGCTCCTTGTCCTTGGAAACTTCTTTGTGAGTATTCTCTGAGTCCTAAGAGGAAGATGACTTTTTGCTGGGCACCTCGGGGGCATTTCCAGTCTGGGACCACTTGAAATTAAATCTATGCATTCAGGCCCGGGATAGGGACCTTACTTATTCTGCAGACATTGGGGAGTTTTAAAGGTTTTGTTTTTTTTCTTTTAATAATGGCGCAATTGTGTTCTCTCATTCCATGATCCTATGCTGCCAATAGACCGAACTGGGCTTTTGCCCCCACAGGAAGCTGGTTATGTTCTCTCCAAATTCTCTCGTGAAGCCCTCCTGCATCCTCGGACTCGGAGACGTGATCACATGGATCAATCACTCACCAGCCATTCACCCAGCACCCCGGCGTGCCCCGTGCTCTATCAGCTGCTGGGCAGACGAGCGCTCTATGCTCTTGAGGTCCTGGCAATGTCGTTGGAGAAGTAAGTTTTGAACACATTAAACAGTTAGCCAGATGTGTAAGAGCACAGAGCTGGAGGGTGGGGTGTTGCTATAAAATGTGCAGTTGGAGAGGGTGGGCAGTACGGTAGTCAGGGGCATAAGTTTTGAAAGAGAGACAGACCAAACTTTGCCCTACCAGCTCTGCGGTTCGGGGGGTTGTCCTGACCTTTCTCAGCAGTGGTTTTCCTCGTGTGCAAAGCAAGTTTACTGGGAGCTGTTCTAAAGTCATTCCACAGTGCCTGGCACTTAGTAAGTTCTCAGTAAACATTAGCTGCTATCGTTTCTGTTATCCTCGGACCAATGCTGTATACCACGCCGTCCGCTAGCTATTAACCTGTTAGTGTTAGTTAGTCCTCCCCAGCAAGAGTACCACTTCTCCAAGCTGCGCACAGGATAAACATGAAGTATTTTCCGAACTAAGTTGAATGTCAAGGTGCTGGGTTGTTATAATCCTGAATTTAAAGTCTATAGAGCAGTTGGCATAGTAGAGTAAAAACAGCATAATAGAGAAAAGGGTTCAAATCTCAGTTGTGCCATTTAATAATGATATGCCTTTGGGTGGATTGTGAGGCTCTCTGAGCCTCAGTTTACCCAGGTGCGTAATGGGGACTGAGCCCTCAGGGCTGCTGCGAGACGAGAGATTATCCACCGGCTCATCCGTAGTGTAACAGCCATCCTACAGATGACCAGTAAACACCATTTGAAGTATCTGAACCAATGTCCAATCCAGGCCAACCTCTGACGAAGGCCCACTGGAGGATAACCAGATTGTGTGATGTGGTTGGTCTAGGGAGCGTCTTGGTCTTCGAGGCCTAAGCAGAGGTTCCTGTACAACATTTTCTTCCCTGAGAAATCAGCTCTGACGTGTCTCTTGGGAAACATTAGCGTTGGGAAGTGAAGCAAGCACACACTGGGCATGTCCTGCCAACGCGCGCCCCGTGGGGCTGGGCAGGGGAAGGCCAGCCAGCCTCGACATGCTGTCCCGTAAAGGTTGGTCTTGCCTGCCCAACAATGCAAGTGGAGGCTGCCCACACGGGCAAGGGTGCACAGCCCCGTTCCAGCCATATCCCCAAGAGCCGACCGTGGCTGTTGGTGGCTGGTGATCTTGCGATGGGGGACTCCCTTTCACGGCGTGTTTCTTGGAACACTCATTTTTGCCTTTGGGGAGTGTAAAGATGAAGAGCAGATGACTCTCAAGTCAGCAAGGAATTCATGATAGGAAGAGGGACGGGGGGGCATAGTGAAGGAAGAAGACGGGAAGTAACACACTCACACACACACACTTACCCCCACTGCCTCTTGAAGCCACACATCCCATCTCAGAGCAGCTCAGAGTATCTGAAGGTTCTTTTTTTTGTTTTGTTTTTAAGTTGGCTCCACGTGGGGCGTGGAGCCCAGTGCGGGGCTTGAACTCACGACTCTGAGACTGACACCTGAGCTGAGATCGAGAGGCGCTTAACCGACTGAGCCACCCTGGTGCCCCTGAATGTTCTTTTTTTTTTTTTTTTTAAGATTTTATTTATTTATTTCAGAGAGAGGATGAGAGATAGAAAGCACGAGAGGGAAGAGGGTCAGAGGGAGAAGCAGACTCCCCGCTGAGCAGGGAGCCTGATGTGGGACTCGATCCGGGGACTCCAGGATCATGACCTGAGCCGAAGGCAGTCGCTTAACCAACTGAGCCACCCAGGCGCCCCTGAATGTTCTTTTCAATTAAAAACAAAATTCTATGATAAAATACACATAGCCTAAAATTCACCATCTTAACCATTTTTAAGTGTACATTTCACTATTAAGTACATTCAAGTACAACCAATCTCAAGAGCTCTTTCCATCTTGCAAAACAGAAACTCTGTCCCCATTCAACGACTCCCTACCCCAAGCCCCGGCAACCACCCTCCTACTATCTCTATGAATCTGACCACCTTGTCTAAGTGGAATCCTACAGTATTTGTCCTTTTGTGTCTGGCTGACTTCAGCTGGTACGTCTTTGGGGTTCATCCATGTTGGAGCAGGTGCCAGAATGTCCTTCCCTTTTAAGGCTGACTAACATCCTGTTGTGTGTGTGTACTGCATTCGTCTGTCAGGTTGCTTGCACCTTTTGGCTGCTGTGAGTACCACTCTTGTGAACATGAGTGGACAGAGATCTGTTTGGGACCCTGCTTTCAATTCTCTCGGGTACACAAGGAAGTCCTCACTTATCACTGCCACCAAACTGCCCCCCTACAGCTTTTGGTCACAGGGCCTGCCTACATGCCCAGGGCCTCCAGAGAAGAGAAGTAGTATTTTACCCAGCCATCCCCGAGCTGCTTTTTAGACGTCATCCTATTTGCACCCTTGTGCCCTCTTGTCAGTTTCTGCCGGAACCAGCCTTTGTCGTCACCTACTTTGGCTTTCCCCCTCATCATCAGACTGTGGGAAGGTTGTTACACATAGTTTCTGCCAGCGGGAGGGCAACTGAGAGTTAGACCTTTGCAGGATCAGCCCGTCTCCACTTGCCCGCTGCTTTCCCTGCCGCTACGGGGGACACTTTGCCGGCCCCGGGGAGGGGGGGGGAGCAGCCAGGACGGGGCACACCATCACCCGCACACACCCTACAGCAGGGTTCAGAAGGGATACTGTGCTCTTGCCTTTGTAATTTCCCCCATGGCTCAGCCTTGTTATATCAGCTCCACGTTTACTGAGGTTTCTTTCTGTGCCCGAGGTCCGAATGCGCGGTCCCTTCCTTGTCAGTGCGTTTCAGCCTTTCACTTGACTTTGTCAGATGTAGAGTGTGTTAGACGCCCTCCCCGAAACACAGCTC